ATCCCCCCTCGATGGGGCCCGCCCACACCGGGGCCTCCCCCCTCCCGCCCACTGCTTTCTCAACGGCCCCGAGCCGGGGCTGCCCTCATTGCATACATAGTGCGCCTTTCCCTGCTTTTCTAGTGACCTAGCGTTCCGCACTGCCGTTTGGCCAGCCCATGCTCCCGTACCGTTGCGTTTCTCCCCAATGCGCCATGCCACTTTGCCAGTCATACACACGTTTCGATGCGTGCCCTGTCAGCTGCTTGCGTTGCATGTCGCCTTGCTCCACCCCTGTTTTATTGCTTTCTCTGCTTTCGCCCGGTTCCCGTCCCGTTTCGGCGGGGAGTCTATGTTGCAAGCTAGTTCTTGCTTTACCAGACTTTAAGCCCACACAAGCACAAGCAAAGGGGCAGGTGTCCCCGCCTGCCTGGCGCCACCGCCGCCGCTCTGCATGCTGCACTACTCGAATGCCGATTTCCACTTTGCAGCGAGGCCACACAAACCACTGGGAACAAGCGTGACTCCTGTTGGGGTCCTGTTGGATTCCTGTGAGCCACAGGACGAGCACAGGATACCTGAACTGCTCACGCCCAGCACCCCTTGCCAGCTCATGCTCGGCCGCGGCTAAGAAAGGCCTTCTTTGAAGGCGCTGGAGCTAGTGTCTAAACCCTCGGAGAGGGCACAGGTTCGATTCCTCCCATGTCGAAACTTTGTGAGGACAAACGCGGCATAGCTGACCGGCTCAGCGCCAATCCAAGCCAATTCCTTCGGGAACGCCTAATAGAATCGCCAAGGCTTCGGCACAGGCCTCCCCGGGACCCATTCACTACTAGTGGGGGGTACTGCACTTGGCGCGTCGGGCATATCAAATAATGGTCTAAAGCTAGACGTTAAAACCGGGAAGTTAAGCCTGTGGAGGCTCTTCCCCACCTTTACCTTCCTCCTCCAACGGCTTTGCCGGCGCCAGTGACGATCGCAAATGACCTCCTGCGCGTTTGGGGGGCGCAGCGCCTCATGTTCTGGACCTCAGGGGCGACAGCAGCATGATGCCACGGGCCCAAGTGCACAGGGGCTAGCCAGCAACACGGGGATGCGATGAAGGTGATTGCAGCAACTGCTGAGGGGCCGGGGGTCAGCACCAGCCCCTAGGTCCCTAGGTGTTACAGTCACCCCGCTATGATAGGCCGCGTGAG